GGACAACGCGTCTGCCGAACTCGGACAAGTCTGGGTTTCCTACGCCTCGCATCAAATCTGTGTCGGCTCTACATATCGTTTCCATCAAGCGTTTTGGTGGAGTCTCTCCTATCACCGCCTATATTCGCCAATGAATACACCTCAGAGCAATTGAGGCAACAATCAGTTCGGCACGAGACTGGCTTCTACATATTAACACGCAGTTCACGTTGAGGAAAGCTCTACTTTGTGCAGCCAGATTGTCTGAAACAAGGGAAAGAGGTCTCTGACAGCCGAGGACATATTTAGCGAGCACCTTTGCATCAAGTATTGAATGTCTTTAGTATTCATGTGCAGTATGGTAGCTGTAGTGCGTCGAGGTTACCTGATACAATCAGACGTAAGTGGTATATATGATAGGATTTCAGCCGCTAGTAGAGAGAAGGTAGCGGCAGGAAGACATTCGACTAGAAATCGGCACTCAACGGCGGCTGTGTGGGAGGCGGGAGGCGCACTCATTGCCGATGTGGAAATCTTCCGGAGTGCGGGGACATTATCTACATGCAATCAATTCTCCGACGCTTGAACGTTTCAGCCCTTGTACGCCGCAACACCAAGACAATGTACATTAAACGTGACCCAGCCGCCAGAGGAAGGTAGCATATCTGGCTGGATACGAATCATCGCGAGTGGGAAGGATTGAACGATGCTCTCCTATGCGTGGGACAATATCCCAGCTTATCAACCCACCTACCTAATGAGGCCGAACGACCGTCCTTAATTGCAGCCACCACAGCAGTAAAGATGTGCGTGGTAATCAGCGGTGGAGATTTACCATGAAAGAACACATGGTATATCATTGGGCATGCCGCAGCAGCCCTCATCGCTGCAAGCCCTGAACAGCGCCGACAACCGCAACTCTTTATCTAACCTAAGTAACTACACCTATGATCATGCAGTTCTCTCTTCTCCTCGTCGCGGCGTATGCCTGCACCGCCTCCGCACGCCTGTCCTGGTCCTTGGCAAAAGCGTCCAACCCCACCGCCGACCAAAGAGACGCATACACCAAGATCGAAGCTGCAATGACAAAGGCTGTCGCTCGCTACGAGAAGTACTCCGACGCAAACAAGACGATTCGTGTGGCCTACGCCCCGGGTGTTCCTACTGCGGAGGCGAACTACAACGGTGATCTACGATTCGGCTCGAACCGCGCTTACATGACGGAAAGGACTGCGATGCATGAGATAAGCCACACGCTGGGAGTTGGCCAGACAGCGGCTTTTGACAGAAAGTGTGCTGCGGGCGATTGGCGCACGGCATTACCGCTGATCAAGAGCTTTGATGGAGCAAATGCGAAGATTACTTGCGGTGGTGGACACTTCTGGCCATACGGTATGATAAAACTCGATGTGCCAACTGGACGTGAAACATAGGCTGACTTGCCATGTCGATATTTCAGGTCTGAACTACGAGACCGAGTGGAGCGAGACGAATGCGAACCGGCATGTGCAGTTGATTGAGGCTATGCTGACTGACGGGATGTGAGGTGATCGTTGTCCAGTACACTGTTACAATTTAGCGTTTATACAATGCGAACGAACCCCGATCAGTCATTGTGCTACCATCGTTTACCAAATGAAGTTCTCCGTGATCTCTCAAATTGTCGCAGACGATGCGGATAGAGCATCGATACATGTCTGAGTTTCCTCGCCGTCTATTGCTTCAACTTCCAGACGCTAATCATGTCGTCGCCGCGACTTTGTTTGAAAGAGACCGGGGGCTTCCAATACACAACCCTTTCGAACGAGCCCTGCTCCTTTCCTGTTCCAAGAAGATTGCCGGAGTCGTCGAACAGGCCATCAGCGCCATCGGCTAGGAGGTTCCAGTGTACACCGTTCAGACCCCATGGCGGACCTTGAGCTTTCAGAGGCTTCCACATTGGAAATTCGAGGCACACGAGAACACCGGTTGGCGACAAAAGGCTCTTCATGCGATCGGCCCAATCTCTTCGCATCTCAGGAAGCAGGGCACACAGGAACTAGATCGACGTTATTAGCACTCGTTATGAGAATGTCGGCCGGGACTCTTTGCATGCCGAACGTACTGTATAGTCATAGATTAGATCGAAACCCTGGAAGTCGGGTCCGAAATGAGCCTCGAATCCCTTTTGGAAGAAGTCGCCGAGCACGACGTCAGCGACATGGCCAGCTGAAGGATCTAGGTGAGATTTGACGTTTTCGTTTGCTGCATCCACGGCTCCTTGGGAAATTTCTAGACCCCATGTCCTGAAGCCATGACGTGCTAATAGCGCCACGTCATGCCCCTTACCGCAGCCCTAATGCGTGATGAGTTCCTGTTGAATACGTTCGTCACGAGACACCTACAGGCACAAATGCCTTCAACTGCCGTTGACTCTGGTCTCGGAACAGCGTCTCACGGTAGGGATGTTCTTCAAGGAACGTAGTCAGAGCAGGCGAAGCTTGGCCCCGATCCCACAGATCCTGTTCCTTCTGTTCCCACAGTTTGGCCCACCCGTCGCTCTGTGCATCCCGGGTGCTGGAACCGTTAGTTGTGGCTACGGAAGTGGCGGCACGTGGCGCTCCTTACCTGTAGCCATCAAAGTGGGAGACCAAGCGGGTCCTGTTTTCAGCAAACTGGGTTTCGGAACTCATGGTGCGGGAGGATGCAAGGATTGAGGATGTCACGGCAAAGCCTGGAAGCCGGTTCAGTGGTGATAGAGATCTGTTGATCCATGCGCCACGCTAACCTCGTGCCTGACGCTACCTGGCTGGAGACAGCGCATCCTTGACGTCACCCCACCTTTTTACCAACAACACCAGTAACTTGCTCTAGGCTCCTACTTGCCCAGTCGCGTGAGCTTGGATTCTTTCGCATTCACCAATAATGAGTTAGAGACGGTAGAGTTGTAGGATTGCGGCTGTGCGGCTTAGAGCACGACCGGGGCGTGGCTATGGTAGTGCAGAGAACAACATCTCGTTGCATACATCCAATATCGGAGTTAAGCCCAGGTTATGTGCCTATCGACCCACATGGACACTACTGGACACAGCCGTTCTTGCCATCACGGCTAGCCAATGAAGACTATGCGAGAAGTCACTGCGTTGTAGCGCCACAGCTTGGGGACTTCAAGATTAACTTTGCTAGCCGACATCCGAATGATATTACCCGACTTCCTGTTTCCTCACTTCAAAAGCCACATCTTGGCCATCCATAGGCCAAGACTTTGGAGTTGAACGTCATAGAGGCGCAGTAGGGAGAACAAGAATAGAGCTTTGCGCCTGGCAGCTGGTTCCGAGATGCCGTTTGGCTCCGCGAGAGCCACTCGGAGCTTGAGTCGTTGCATTGCACTCGCTCACCGTTCCAATGTGTTGGCGCGTAGCACTTTCCATGAATCTTGGAGGGATGCCACTTGCGGCTCTACAAGAGTCACGGCAGGCGCACTCTCTTGGTATGAGTCCCAAAGCTTAGTGAGCGCCATTCTCCTTCTCCTTCTCATCTCTCTGTCGGAGACTTATACCAGCACCCATGGGTCGCCTTCTCCTAAACACAGTCCCACACAGCGCGCGGACTCTATACTATCTGCGCTACCGGGTCGCTGTTGTATTCTTCATACTTGCCCTATTCCAGCAACAACATCTGTACCTTACTAGTCGACAAGCACTCTCAGAAAAGTACTCTGCGACCGACTTCAGCTCTCACAACGAAGGAGACCTACAAGCTCGATCTTGGCAACCCTATGACGAAAGTTCGAAGTTGGAAGAAGAGCTAATAGCAAACCGGGCGTCTTGGAAAGTGCTTGGCGAGGGCTGGGAGGGCAAGGTGTTCGCCTACGGAGACTCGGTTATCAAGACGTTCACACCAGGGTGGAGTCCATTCCGAAATTGCGCGCCAGATGCGACCAAATGGCCAACGGAAATACCCGCATCACTACAATTTGGTGGTGCCGCTGCCGACGAAGCGAACGCGACGAAGAACGGCTTCCTTCCCGTGAGAGCACATTTCATGGCTTCTACAACGCCTGGCGAACCGGCCGAATGGCACCTCGTCACTCCTCTGCTCAAAGGCGGCAATCTTCGTTCACTTGCCAACAACCTGTCGTCGGAAGCAACGCCTATGGCTTATAGTCAGGTCGACGGACGCTATCGGCCAGCCTTCAACCAATTACTTGAGAATCTGGGAACTTTGCACCGTGCAGGATACTGTCACGATGATATCAAGCCGGCGAACATCTTTGTTCAAGACGAGTCCCACTGGGCAATCGGCGACTTGGGCAACATACGAGAAGTGTCCCACCCCTACCACTCGTCGCGTATCTGGAAAGACAACGACCAGCTAGGGGATTGCCGCGCAAACGATGTGCTACGAGCTTTGCAAACATACCTGAAGTTTATTCAGTCTTCTGTTGCCGATGAAGACGACTTCAATGCAGCCTTGTACGAAGGTCAGACACCCTTGAGCAGACTCTTTTGGTGGACACTTGCCGATGCACCACACATGAGTGCCAATGAACTTCGTCAACGTTCCATTTCAGAACACCCTTTAGCGGAGACCAAGGTGGATGACAGAGTCCCTGTACCTGCGCGACCTCATCCTTTTCTGAGCCTGTTCTCCGAGCGCGAGGCGGTCAAGCGGGCCACTGACCATGCACTTATGACACGGATGGACGAGAGAAGCGTACGACTTTGGGGCATGGTGTGGTTGTTCGGCGTGACCCAGCCGGATCTTTGTTGAGCGACTTTTAGCGGTTTGTGGAGTTCGATACCCAGGGTACACGGCGTTTTATTACTACCTAATGAATTGATCCTTCACATTTTTCGGCAGAGAAGCAGGTTCCAAATTATCTGGTATTACAAAGTTTATCTGATGAAAGCGAAGAACTCCTGTTGCATCGGGTATCAGCCATCTTGGCAAGAACCATCTCCCACATGTTGTTTCCTGCATTTCAGTCAGTTTGACTCCCGTTTGTTGGAGGGCACGCCGCTTACCTGTAATACATGATATCACCACCAGGGGCAGTCGTCATAATCAATGCCGCCGCCGGCGAAATCACCATTCTGGTAACTCTTGTACGTCGCCCTTGCCCTGTTTATGCGGTCTTTCTCGTCCTCAACCACAGCTTCAAGCTCTTCCCTGTCAAGCTTATTATGTTTCTTGACATATTCGTAGACCTGGTACAGCGAGAACTTCTTCGCTTGTGTCTTTGACTATTCGTTAACCTTGTAGTCGACACCAGCGTCGACGAGTTCCTGAGCCGTGACCTTCCACCACTTCCTGAGGTACTTCTCTTGCATGTACAGATGGTACTTGCCACTCTTGAATCGCGATGGAGCACTGGAAACAGGAGGTAACGCTCCACTAGCTCTGCGTTCTGCGTTCCACTGGTCGATGGCTCTCCGGATGATGTGATCGCGTGGTAGGTTTCTGCAGCACTCGCTGGATATCCATCCAAGATACTGTTCGTCGAAGCGGCTGATGTGCGCTAGTGTGTGTCCCTTGTGCTTCCCGGTCTGAATGACGTAACTGTGCAGAGGGTTCCTGCGCGCGGACTCCGCGTCTGGAGATTGCTCGTTGATGTATTCGCGTTGTACGTCGAAAGACCCGGGGCCTTTACCCCGCCTGGCGTTGTTCCTTGGTGACGCGCCATAGGGCGAGCTGCGGTAGCCCTGGGTATTGTAGAACAGAGAGGAGTGTACAAATGTATTGATGATCTATGTAGAGGGAGGAACCCCTAGTATATATAGTAGAGGGGTAACGCTAGTAAGTGAATGTATAGTGAATAGGTGGATCACGTGTATGGATGCCTAACCAACAGGTATGGCTCTTCTGCGGTGCCCGGCCGTGGTAAGGCACGGTAGATGTAGTTGGTAGTGTAGTGTGAAGGTACTTTTGCAAAAAGAAGAAATGATGGTGGGTACGAAAGAAATGGTAGCGAGCGCGCGTCCAAATAACCCTCTCTCTTCACCTGAAACCAGTGACGCCTTCGGAACCGGACAGAGTACCGACAGCGAAGTTTCGCGATCACCGTTTTCCCTTATCGATAAGGCACGTGTTCACGCGTCTCCCGAGGTACGACCATAAGAGGAATAGACTACCCACATTGGAAAACCCAACTTTGGAAGCGTCATGGTCTGCAGTTGTAATCGAACTGTCCCTGATACTGTTGAGCACAAACGCTGATTGTCAAGTCGAGTAATTTCAATAGACGTTTAGTGTGGTGCTTCTAGACAGCCTCTAGTGTGGCGAAGCGCTTTGTGGCATCAATTGACAGCCCCTGGTGTCTCCTTTCATCTGCAGTCAGATTCGTGGTAGCAATGACCAACGCGAGAGTCCTCCTTCAAAGTGCACGAAGCAACGGGGTTCCCTTGGAAAAAGAAACGGGAAAGAACAACTCGCCTGCATCCTTACATACAGCAGTCGGTACGGGCTGGAATAGACGCAGTAGTGGTAGTAGCAGCTGCATCCGAGCAATCTGCAAATACAACTGCAGTCCTCCCAGTCATATATTCATTTTGTCCAGTGCTCATATGACCCTTCTCTTGCTAGTCAAACCTACCCATTGCCGGATGGGAAGTATTTGCAGGTATCCGCTCTGTGACACGTCATCTGTCCAATGAACTGTACCTAGTTGGTACCGCCGTCGAATTCTTTGTACTCATTCACAGTACATAGTATATGATCACGAGACGAACTTATGACCACAGCAGCGAATAGCAGCTGTTATATGCATGCGGTGAGTGATATGCGGTGAGGAAGGGTTCAGAAAACGAGGCGGGTAACGGACCGGGGTGAAGCTTGTATGAGTCGCGTGGCTTGGGCGGCTAGCGTGCGCATCATGACATCGCCAACACCACCATCCATCCTCCTATTAACAACGACCCTCAACGTCGATTTTGTTTATGGCGACTCACGAGAGCACCTGGCAATGATCAAAGGCAACGGTACTTGCGGGAATGGCACCAGCGACCCCAACGACCCTTACGGCACGCACCGGCCGCAGCGCGCTTTCCACCTCCAAGTCTCCCTCTCCGCCGCGCTCGGCCTAGTGGCTTTCCTGGCCTTTTGCGTGCGTACTCGCAGTTTTGTCTTCCGACCTACCTGCTGACTGGTTGTATTAGTTCCTCCGCCCACGATGGAAAGGCCTCTACTCTGCACGCAAGAAGCAGAACGACCTCGCGACATCGCTGCCCGACCTTCCCGATAGCTTTTTCGGCTGGGTTTTACCGTTATGGAGGATCACCGACGAGCAGGTGCTCGCCTCAGCCGGTCTCGACGCCTACGTATACCTCGCCTTCTTCAAGATGGCTATCAAGTTCCTGCTTGTCACGCTGTTCTTTGCGCTAGCCGTCATCAAGCCAGTCCACGACACACACCAGGACAAGGAGGGAAAGAAGTCTTCGATTGACAAGAAGCCCAGTCCTGAGCGCATTGAAATACGAAGTACACTTTCGACATTTGCCTCCGGCTACGAACAATACACCGACTATCTGTGGATGTATCTTGTATTCGTGTACCTCTTCACCGCCCTCATAATGTACCTGATCGTTTCGGAAACGAGGAGGATCATCGATGTCCGGCAAGAGTATCTGGGAAGCCAGACGACCATCACCGACCGGACCATCAGATTATCTGGTATCCCTGTCGACCTACGGTCTGAGGACAAGATTAAGGACTTCATTATGGATCTCGGCATCGGGAAAGTCGAAAGTGTGACCCTTTGCAGGAACTGGAAAGAGCTCGACAACAAGGTCGTCGAAAGACAAGCTGTCTTGCGGAAGTTGGAAGAAGCCTGGACTGTCCATCTTGGAAGTCGAAGTGTAGAACGAAGCTTGGAAACTCTCCCAGTCGTCCAGCCACATCCGCCACAACATGCTGAGAGCAGCGGCAATGAGGAGAGCGAGACAAGTCGCTTTCTGAGTGACGCAGAACGAGACCCTGGCCACATCAGCCCTTATGCGCAGCAGCGCCCGACAGCGAAGATCTGGTACGGCCGTTTCAAGCTGAGATATAAGAGAGTAGATGCTATTGACTACTACGAAGAGAAATTGCGCAGGCTCGACGACGAGATTCGTGCGCTGCGCAAGAAAGAATTCGAACCGACTCCGTTGGCGTTTGTGACTATGGACAGCGTTGCAAGTGCGCAAATGGCCATCCAGGCTGTCCTCGACCCTTCACCACTACAGCTTTTGGCCCACACAAGTCCGGCACCACAAGACGTAGTTTGGTCCAACACATATTTGTCTCGCGGCCAAAGAATGTTTCGATCTTGGTCGATTACAATCGCTATTGGTATCTTGAGCATCTTCTGGACAGTCCTGTTCGTACCTATCGCCGGTGCTTTGAACACGTGCTCCATTCAAGAGGTACTACCCGGTCTGGCAAATCTGCTGCACGAGCACCCCAACCTCGAGGTTCTTTTCAACAATCAACTCCCTACGTTGGCAGTCTCTCTGATCAACGTACTTGTACCTTTTTTGTACGATTGTAAGTGTGCCAGCCGTCAACAGTCAATGTCTGCCATGTTAACACTCTTTAGGGCTTGCCAACAAGCAAGGGATGATCTCACAGGGCGATGTTGAGCTATCAGTAATTTCGAAGAACTTCTTCTTCGTCTTCTTCAACTTCTTCATTCTCTTCACCATACTGGGGACTGCTTCCGGTTTCCTGGCGATGCTTGAACGCTTCGCCGAGAAGCTTACAAGCGCTACGCAAATTGCATACGCCTTGGCTACATCGCTCTCTAATCTACTCGGCTTTTACACCAACTTCATCATCCTTCAAGGATTTGGATTGTTTCCATTCCGACTTTTGGAGTTTGGTGCCCTTTCTCTGTACCCGGTCTATCTGATTGGCGCCAAGACTCCTAGAGATTACGCCGAACTGGTACAACCACCGGTCTTCAGTTACGGGTTCTTCTTGCCGCAAACCATCTTGATCTTCATCATCTGTATCGTCTACAGTGTGTTGCAAGACTCGTGGATGGTTCTGCTCACTGGCTTGGCCTATTTTATGATTGGTCACTTTGTGCACAAGTATCAACTCTTGTATGCAATGGAGCACAGACAACACTCGACTGGCAAAGGCTGGACAATGATGTGTGACCGCGTTCTCGTCGGTGTCGTACTGTTCCAAATCACGGTGGCTGGTCAACTGGCTCTGAAGAAGGCGTTCAAACGGGCCGTCATGGTAGCGCCGCTCGTAGTCTGCACACTGTGGTTCCTTGTTGTGTTTGCGCGCACTTATCGGCCACTGATGAAGTTCATCGCTTTACGGAGCCTGCGAAGTCCGGAACAATCGGAGCTTGGACGCGACGTTCAAGAAGAAGCGGTTGCCAACGGGCAAGCAGGCAGACTTACACTAGACGAAGCCCGTGAACGTGGCCTGCGGTTCCAGAACCCTAGTATCATCATGCCTTTGGATGACGTATGGCTACTACAGAAACATGGAAGGCCTCAGAACGGATCTCATGGATCTGGGACCGATGATGCCAATGGCAGCTGGGAATAGCCCAGGCGCACTTTCCTCGACAAGTTTAGGGATGTTCCTTCTTGTATGCATCGGACATCCTTACCACCTTGTATAGTCGTCGTTCTTTCCTGGTTTGTGTTTGTTGATACCCACTACCGCAATGAATTTGGTTATGTTCTTACCCCATTATACCTCACGTTCTTCACCCACTCACCGCAGGCACTTCTGCCGCGATACCCATACCACGCCACGCATTCTTTCGTCATTCGAAAGGAGTCACATCCTCTGAACTGGCTAACACTCCTCTGGTCTCCTTCCTGGTCATTATTATCAGCAACTCACCTTGAACCAACGGTGCACCTCCATCACGGGGGTGCTTCAATCACGTCTTCTCAGATATACCTTTCGCGTGGGGTGGCGGAAACCAAGTCCGAATCAGCGCTTCCTATCATCCAACTCGAACCTCTTCGGGTAGCCTCGTTCTCGGGATCGCCAACCACGCGCATACTGTCTCTCACTCCGCCCCGTTCCCGCCGCGAACAAATGTCTCACGCAATGGACTACGCAATGACGACCCCACTCTTGGCTGATGCAACCCTATCGCAGACGATGCCATTGGACGAAGCCACCCCGAACAATACAAGCAAAGCGCAATCGCCAGCCCCAAGACGCTCCGAAGTTCTTCGCCATGTCTTTCCTCGACCTTCACGGACCCGTATCCCTCATGGTCGCAAGACCTTACCTCGAGTTGCCAAAGCCGACCGTTCCAATACTGCTCTCGCATCCCGTCTACAATCTAGGCCGCGAGTGGCCTTTCACAGATACATCACTTCGCTCTTCGGTAGCGCCGCAGATCGTAATGTGATAGCAGACAGTCCGGAAGCAAGATCGCGAGCATCCAGCTTTGGGTCCAGGCCGGGGTCCTCGTTATACGGCTCAGTACCCAGCCTAGACATGGTCTCGCCTGCCACGTTCATGTTCAGCGGACCAAGCCTCCGCTCCGTAGGGTCTTACAGCGACTCATTGTCCTGCCTTCCCAGTCTCGCAGAAACTGATAGCGACGTACAACTACTACGACGAGCGCGGACCGACTCCTTTTCAATGCTCGACAGTGCCAGCATCATTGAGGATGCAATCCTGGAGCCTGGTACCGATCAAGGCATCACTCGAACTGTGACTGACGTTCTACTCGGCGTTCGCACACCGTCGGAAGAAGATGAAAGCCCGTTTGTCATCGCGCTTGAGGACGGCTCTCCATTCTTTACTCCTGCACAAGGTCATGCTACGTGCAGTAATCCCAATTCTGTTGGGTACGCACCTACGTCTCCGGTTCGTACTTTTGCTACGCTCCTCTCACCGTATCTGGATACGGCTGCATGGAAGGCGTTGAGGCTGACAAATCGTGCTTGGTATCTTGCTTTGAGCGTGGCAGCACCACCGACCTTTCCTAACTCATACCATCTTCCAGTTGAGATTCTTCAGCACATATACGATTACCTCGGCCCAAAAGACTTCAATGCCGTACGCCATACGTGCCGACACTGGATGCGGGCAAGTCTCGATAAGAAACTGCTCAATGCAATGCTAAGCAGAGGTGGTTGGCGCAGTAGCACTGAAAATACTACTTGCACAATGCATGGTGCTGCTTCCCATCCCATTG